ATTCAGATACACAACCCCATCGCCAAATGTTTGAAGTAGGTAAAAATCTTTGTTCGTTCCCCCCCCCCCCCCATATCATCATTTCCCTTATTAGCACACATCGGCTAAGGGGGTGTTTGTTCGGGCTAAATTTTTGAGAAACTGCATGCAGTTTTTGGACAAAAAGTAGGGTTTTTTGACATTTTTGGATTCAAAAACCTTGTCATTTGGTTCAAGACTTTTTTTTTTTAAGGGAAATTGGCATATTCTTAAAAAGCTGGGAAATGGAGCAAAACACTTTATGGAAAACCAAAATCCATTTTTAAGCTCTGTATGGGGCTGAAAATCTTGACACTATTGATCAATTTATCAATTACTCTTACAATTTCCTTAAATTTTTTGGAAATTAAACAAACCATGAGTTTTAGAAATGCTTTGCCTATTCTTCACTTCATCATTCTATACGCAAACAGCAAGTTATGAATTCCTGTATTGATCAATTTTTTTTTTTAGAATATGGTTATTTGCCTTTGGATATCTATTTCATTTTTTATGGAAACGAAACCAAACACCTCCCTAAACGAGGGCCGAGACCAATGTATTCAAAGCCCCATCACCATTCAGACCCCGCCAATCGAAGGGCAAAACCGTTAATTCACGGAGGCCCCCCACCAAAATCCCACTATAAAACCTCCTCGCTTTCGTCCTAGGGTTAAGCCGCTCGTACCCCCGCCCCCAGTCACGGCGCCGCCGCCGCCAAAAAATGTGTGAAGTTCCTGAAAGCCGAACAAGGCGTGATCCTCCTCCAGGCCGCTCGGCCGGGACGGCAAGGCGGTCATCGTCTAAGAATCTCGCACGACGGCACCCGCGACCTCGCCTACGGCCACTGGCTCGTCGCCGGCGTTCGCCAAGTTACCCGAAGACAGGTCTATTCCGGAAGGAAAAAAAACCCGCAGCAAGACCGCCAAGAAGTGCCAAGGGTCAGGCTCTTTGAAGGTCGTGAAACTTTACTCGCCACGTGATGCCGACGAGATGGTCACCCTCCGATGTGGAGATCTCAAGTCTAGCCGTCTGTCCGCCGACGCGCTGCAGACGCGGGTACAGAAGGTGAGTGCGTCGAACGGAGGTCAAGAAGAGTTGTTCGAGGGAGAGGTTTCAAGACTGGGAAAGACAACAGGTTGTTTCTTACCAGGCCTCAGGTTTATGAGAGGTACCTTACTTATGGGTTTCTTGTTTTTTTTCTTTCTGTGGGATTTTTGTTTGCTTCGATTTGGTTCATGTGTGTCTCGATATTTGCTCTATCTCAATGGATGCGAACTGCTTGTTTTTGTTTAATCGGTTTTCTTTTTACTACATTTCGGCGATGGGTTTGATCTGATTGAACATACAAAGAGTGTTTCTGATGAATTAACAGTTACTTATCTATAACACACTGTACTGGTGAAAAAAAACAATGATCATGCCTTTGAAGGGGACTAATTTTAAAAATAATTAAATTAAATGTGCTAATAAGGGAAATGCATGATATGGGGGGGGGGGGGGGAACGAACAAAGGATTTTTACCTACTTCAAACATTTGCGATGGGGTTTGATCTGAATTGATGATTTTTAATACAGTTGCTTTATTGGATATATTTGTGAATTAATCGATTAGTGTCTCAATGCGAGGATTTTATCACGATATGGTGCACTTGCATATATTGCTTTTTGAAGCTAAAAATGTTGTTTATCTTTGGTTAATAAACAAAAAGATATACAAGTATGAATATTCCTTTGGATAGAGATGTTTTTTTTTGCACCGCTACTATTGTTTATTTAGTTTGTGTCAACAAGTCCAATATGTGGAACAGCTAAATTCTCTTTGGAATGTGAAATCAAAATAAGCAAACAAACTAATGATTACTAATTACATTCACATATCTCTGTGTGGCAGTGATTATCGCTTTCATTAACATATATAGTGAAGTAGATTATTAGAACAATTTATCTTCTGATCATCTCCAATATCTTACCTTGTGGGCTTCTTTTGAAAAGTTCAGGAATCATATAGCATTTACAAAGAAAGCATGATTTGATAACACCTGGACAGTATTTACAATCAGAAAACGAGAACCAACTTTTATATTCAGCACGAAAGAACGCTGATTTCATTTCCTAGCTACGCCCATGCGAAACGCATGCGATTCACACGACGTAGTTATGGGCAACCTAATTAATTCATAATAATTATTATATTAGAGTGTAACATGTTTTTCATTATGTAACCACTTCGTCTACATTATCAAATTTCCGTAAAACACGACATAGTTATGGCCTTCCATTTCTTTTAGTAAAACCATAGCAACAACTAACAGCTCCTGTATAGTGCATGTATGGGTAATTACAAAGAGATAACTAAGTTCGTACGTTAGCAAATTTGAGTGCTAAGAAAAAGTTTGCAAGAATAACCAATATTAACATTTTGATTTTTATCAAACATAGATTTTAAATTAAAAAAAAAAACATCACATGGGAGCCAAAAACTTAAAAAAAAAAAACCACCAGCAAGGGTGAGCTCAGGTGGGTGAAAGTGATCAATGTGCTCTCCAAGGGTCTTGTATTTGCTAGGGAGAAATCAAGCTAATCTAGAGTTGATGAGATTTAAACATAAACAAGAAATCAATTTTAACTTTTTTAACCAAAACATTATAGTTACTAGATACCGGCTCCAACAACTAATTTAATCTCATCACTTTTTCTTATTCTATTCAATGTAGAACTATATTTCACTATCTTTTGCATCGTTTCATTCTTGGGCTAACCAATTTACTAAGGGGCTGTTTGGTTGGTTTCTTTTGCCCCTGATTCCCTGTCAAAACTGACAGCAGCTTTCTTGCCAAACGCCATTTTTAGGGGTGTTTTGACAGGGAATCAAGGGCAAAAGAAGCAAAACAAACTCTTGCACCACTGCGCTCGTAGGCTAACCAAACCATGCATTTAGCACATGACTATCAAACACCCGTAGGATCTTCCACTATTTCGGTTATGACGACTAAGTAGAGTTTATCACTTCTACGGACATCTGTGGGTTCACCTTGACTTTTCACATTAGACTTCACTTTCTTTTCTTGTTTTTTTAATTACTCGGGCCATAACCAAGGACGTATGTGGGTTGATTTGATGTACTTAAAACGAAAGTTAAGAATCCATTTTAATCCAAAAGGTATAACTACTATGTATTGCCCTTACTTAAACGCATCACTTTTTTTTTATCCAATGTTGGGACTATACTCGCGTATTACTAACCTCAACAGTATTCGATTCTCCTTCGACCATTCTCGTATTGGCTGTAGCTCCCCCAACCAAGGTTTCCTCATACCTTAAGAGAGAGAGAGAGATTCCTCATACCTTAAGAGAGAGAGAGAGAGAGAGAGAGAGAGAGAGAGAGAGAGAGAGAGAGATGAGTTAACATGCAATATAAGGAACCGGTTGTTTCATTGTAAACAAGTAACCTCTTATCAAATTGAATAACTATCCGAATCAGTTTTCAATTCATCAACTATGAAATAAAAATATGAAATAGCTAAGGATCCGGCCGCAAGAGGGCCAATTTATTTTTCTACAACATATTGTTATTTGTATCTCTTGCTGGCTGACTTGAATTCTCTTCTTAAATGTTCGCTCAAACTTCGCCTCTGGAAGATCTCCCTGAGTCAAAAGAGCGTCTTCAAACGAGTTCTTCTGTTACGCATTTAGCTAGTAAAATATTTTCACTCAATGTACTTACAGTATTCTACTCAAAGATCACTTGGGCATCATCAAAAAGAGAGAACAGTTTTAAAAAAAACAAAGAGAAAAACTAACTACGAATTAAAAACATGTAGAACTGATTATTAGTCGAGGTAATTCGAAAGCTTTTTGCATATTTTAATGGCAGACATGAGTCATGACTACTTACTACACATATCAAATAAATCACAAATCAGTTATTGAAAGTTAAATCATTTATTGGAAGTATAAAACTATTGTAAACTTTAAGCTTTTACTACTCTGTTCTGGTACAATTTGTCATGTGCCGGGTCCGCAAGCCCGTTGGTGTGATGTAAGCCGTGGGACTCGCTAAGTACAACGCGTTATTTGACTCAAATCAATATCAAAGTTGGCTAGCCAATGTTACACTTGCTCTTAAAACACATCATTTAAATTATTCAATCAATATCCGATAGGAGACTAAATTTTAGTGTACCTCAAGATTAGAGACTACCTCCTAACAACCGTAAATTCTTTTACCAAACTTAGATTTAAAAACATATAAGCATGTAATAATTAATCTCAAGTTTGGGTAAGATAATTGGGGAGAAACTTTATGGGCTTGTTAAGCTTTATGCTGAAATAGAGCTTTTCTCATTATGTTTTATTAGAGAATTTGTACGCTACATTCCATACTTAAACGGGTTTTTTGATAACCTTAAAGTTAAAAGGGGTTTGCTGATATTTTTGAAAGTTGTGTTATCTGATAATCGTCTAAAGTCCAGAGGAGTTTTCTAACATTTAGCCAAAAATTTAGAAACCCTTTCTAATTTTGGACAATTATCAAATTACGGCCATAACTTTGAAAATATCACAAAACACCCTTTAGGTTTAGGTGCTATTAAAAATCCCTTACAACTTAAGTTGACATAAGTTTTTTTCTCTCTGAGAAAAACTTATGTCAACTTAAGTGGACGTCCACTAAGTTTCTTAATCATTAATGATCACTTGATTGAGCTACATTGTGGATGATCCGCTTCGTTAAACTTTGAGGTTTGACCCCAACACACCAAATTTGGGGTGAATCCGTCGTGGTTTGACCCTCCGTCGAGCCATGTAAAAAGTTTTATTCATTCGAAGCCGTTAAAATTGATACAAGTGGATGAATGGTCAAACCACGACGGGTTCACCCTAAATTTGGTATGATGGGGTTTTAAAATATGTAGACCAAGTTCAACGAAGTGGATCATCTACAATGTAGCTCAATCAAGTGATCATCAATGACTAAGAAACTTAGTGGACGTCCACTTAAGTTGACATAAGTTTCTCTCTCTCTCTCTCTCTCTATATATATATATATATATATATCATACCTTAACAATGTTAAGTGAAATTTTTACATGGATGGGTAAAATTATGCAAGGCGGTCATTTAGAGTTTCTTTTATAAAAATTGAAAGTAAAAGAGGGTTTTTTGATAATCCCTAATTTGGGGGAGGAGGCGGTTCTAAGATTTGAAAGTTATATGTGTTATCCAATGACTTTCTAAACTTAAGGGAGGTTTTTTGAAATATAGGGGCTATTTGATTTGCCACAGAAATAAATAGCAACAAATGTTATCTGCAACGGTTATTGCAGGAAATCAACTCTAAATTCGATATTTGTATACATGCAATTATCTCGTAGAAAATGTATTTCCAAATATAACTTTAGTGTTTGGTTGAAAAACATTTAGGCAAAAGATACAAAATTTTACCATATAAGAAAACCTTGGGTAGATAGTTTTCATGTTTAGACTCAAAACAAAACTTTTTAATGAGGTGAAATTACTTTTATTTTGAAACACTCTTTTTTAAAACCTGCAGTTTTTCTTCCCACCAAATTAGTTGTACCTTTGTTGCAAGTTTTTTCTATAAAATACAACTCTATTTACCTTTTCTAGTTACGAAGTCGTAAACCGAATAATATATTTACGAATCCCGTTTACTCTATCTATATTTTCAAGTCTATTTCCCTAAACCATACAACCCCTTACTAGCGTTTTGAAGGAAGGGGCCAAATAGCAATTTTAGTGATTCGAGGGACTGATTATAAAACATTATAATTTAAGGGACCAAGATCAAAACAATCCGAGCTTCGAAGCGGAGAGAGGGGATAAGATAAGAGACGGAACGCTTTTTAGGCGAAAGAGAAACGAAGAGCTCGGCAATGGCGGCCATCAGTTCCTCCTGCTGCTGCTTCTCTATGCCCTACAAACCAAAGCCCTTCACTCCGTCGCCCCCGCTGCTCTCCATCGGCAGCAATGGCGGCTTCCCTCTCCGTTCTCGCGCCTTCAAAACCCTAGCTTTCTCCTCCAGTCTCTCGACCTCTTCATTCCCAACGGGTAACTACGCTCGAGATTCTCATCAAGATTCGATCTTTTTCGGTTGATTTGATTGATTTTGGTTTGGTTTTGAAGGGATCGAATCGCTCAAGTCGTCGGCTGCGCCGAGCGCCCGTAGGTCCGTCGTATGTGAGGCTGCGCCGGCGAAGAAGGCGGATTCGGCGGCGAAGAGAGCTCGGCAAGCGGAGAAGAGGAGGATTTATAACAAGGCGAGGAAATCCGAGATCAAGACTCGAATGAAGAAGGTATGAAGCCCCTCAATTTTGTCGGAACCGGGCATTTTAATGGTGATTTATGTGGATATTGCATGTGTTGTTAAATGGCAATTTATGAAATTACCCAGGGTTTTATTACCTTTTAAGCGAACCAGTGACCGGAATGCTTGCTTTTATTGGACATTATATCTGCCGAGGTTAAGAATAATCAGATGTAAAAAAAACAATCTTTTGGACCTTAACTGCTGCAGAGGTCCCTGATGTTTTTTTTCACTTTTGTTTTTTAATTTCCTGTTGCAGTTTATAGAAATTATTCAATTCTGCAGTTACTTCTCGTAGTAGGACCAGATATGGACGTGTAGTGCGTCTGCAAGTTCTCAGAAAATGCAGTTTTAAGTAAGCAATTTCTAAACCACGTATGCGGTAAAATAATTTGAATGAAGTATGAACAGAGATCAAAGAAGTGCGTATACTCATAAGCTCCAGTTTATGATAGCATCATAGCATGAAAAACAATAAACCTCGTCTGAAGTATCATGCGTTGATGCTGGGATGCCAAATTAGTCAATGGCCCAAAGATTTTTTTTTTACCCCTACGATAGGAGCTTAGGAACTTAGGATGTTAGGCGGTACCGGACTTGAAACTTTGGGTACTTTGTCGAATACTTTGACGTTTCGACACACTTTCCACGGCGCTCTAGTAAAACTTGAATTCACAGTGTAGCACAATTTCACTGCAATCCTGCCTTTTATATCAGGCCAATATAGGTATAAAGTTATTACTGAGGTAAACTAAATTCTTCAGCTGATTACTCTTCAGCCTTGACATATATAGTTGATAAGGTCTTTCATGGCCGCTGGTTATTTAAAACGCAAATCTCGGTTACGATTTCAAAGTTTCATAGAGATGGCTGCACACGAGTGTACACGAAGTACAGGCATTAGAGTAATGCTAATTAAATTATGCATCTCATATTTTGTACTAGAAGATACAACTATTGAATTGCGATAGGATCCATGTATCCCTATCTTTGGAAGAAGTTTGAATATCGTTGTACAAGATTCGTAGTATTGCTAGCATCCCAAGTTTCATTTAACCTATGAAGTTAAACTTACTTAGAATAAGTATATGTACAAGGGAAGTTTCAGTCCTTTCTTTGGATTTTTTACATTCTGGAAGTTTTTTTTTCCACCATTACATTACGTCTTCTCTCATTAAGAATCTCAAAAAACAACTCCATATGAAATACATTACTCAGACTTCATGTTTCCGATCTAGGTTCTTGAAGAACTAGATGTCCTCCGAAAAAAGACTGAAGCACAGCCAGAGGAGATCCTCGTCATCGAGAAGCTTATTGCAGAGGCGTACTCGACTATCGACAAGGCAGTCAGGGTTGGCACTCTTCACAGGAACACCGGGGCCCACAGGAAGTCCCGGCTGGCGAGGAGGAAGAAGGCCGTGGAGATTCACCATGGGTGGTACACGCCTTCGGCGGCATCGGTTAGTGTTTGAAAAGGCTCGTGAATGTTCAGGCGGGATGAGACTTTGATTCTGTTTTGTAAACAAACCGTTTGATGTTTTGATCAGTGACTAGAGATGTATTCTGTATTGTGGCTGGCGTTTCTGTTTAACTCTCCCACTTCTTGTACTTAAAATGCCCCCAAAGTCTCCCATTTTCAACTTTGATACCCCAAAGTTTTTGTCCAAAATAAATTCCAAAGTTCAGCAAATTTAATTTTGATAGCCTGTTAAGTATCGGTTAACAGATCCATCAAAAACCATATCCAGTGACTGTGACGTGACTTTTCTGAACAATCGCACCCCTGAAAAGAAACTTTTGATCAGTGACTAGGGAGTATTCGTTAAGTTAGAAACTTTTGATATGTTATTATGCAAGTTATACTCAAGTAGTCACCCATATCCCCATTGCACCCCTAAACAGTTTTAAATCCGTCTATTAGTATATATTTCTTCCTTAAATAAATGATGACTCGTCACCTCAATCCGTTCTAGAATGATCTTTTTCTCAACACGGATCTTAAAGTTACGCTAGTTAAGTGAGTTGAGAGCTGATCTGTGGAATTTCTAAAGTCTAGGGGGGTCTTGTACAAACTCCCATTTTAACCCCAAAGGACTAGTTGCTGCGTACAAAAACAGGGACCCGGTCTCTGCGGACTACCCAACACGAGAACCTAAGTCTCATCTCCGAACACAAAACACAGAGAGCAGAACGGAGATGGAAGGTTCTGCTCCTCCGCCGGTACCATCACCGCCGATTCACCCATCAATCCTACCTCTATCCTACCTCTTAGGAAAGTGGAGAGGCGAGGGCGAGGGCGGTTACCCGACCATCAACTCCTTCAAGTACGGCGAAGAGCTCCTCTTCTCTCACTCTGGAAAGGTCCTCCCTCTTCCCCCCCTCTCTCTAATCTATACATAAATTTTTTATTCATTAATTTCTTTTTGTCCTTCAATATTATGATTCGAAATGATGCAGCCAGTGATCGCTTACAGTCAGAAGACGTGGAAGCTTGCCTCCGGCGAGCCGATGCACGCGGAGAGCGGGTACTGGCGCCCGAAACCCGATGGGTCCATCGAGGTCGTCATTGCTCAGAGCACCGGCCTTGTTGAGGTCCAGGTAATAAACTACCCAAAACCCTAATTCCCAATTGCCCGTGTGAAAATTCGAGGTGGAAGTCGAAAGAAATTGAAAAGAATAAGATCTGGGGTTTTCCATCCGCTGCGTTGTTCGATCGATCTTGCTGTGATCCATTTTCGCGGATTCGGGTGTGCATTTTTTTTCCGGGTTTTGGGGGTTAGTTTAATAGTCAATATAAAAAAGTTGAAATTGGTAATCTTTTTCGACATTTAATCGAGTAGTTATCACCTTGATGGTTGACCTCTCCTCTCAATTAATAAGTTGAGGCAATGCAGTAATTGTTAAGGATAATACATGTAGGTGTGATATTCAACAAAAAACTATACTGTATCTAATTAGAGTTCCTCTAAGATGTTTCTATAATGGTATTTGGTCGATCCGTCTTGTTTATTTCATTGTGATCACCTTGTCGAGTGAATTCTGCTTATACCAATCTGTTGTATGCAAGTTTTATTATGGTTAATCGTTACGCGTATATCCATGTTGTAAATTTGCAGAAAGGTTCCTTTGATGCAGAAAAGAGAACCGTGACTCTTCAAAGCGAACTAGTTGGGAATGCATCAAAGGTAATTTTCCAACATAGCCGTGTGAATATTTTAAGTCCCTGTTGCTTCTATATCCCGGAAAAATAATCCATGAATGCATACTCCTCAGGATGTTTTCTCTTAGCTGATTAAATGCGTACCTGATATGTGATTCGTGAATCTTCGAAATGTTTTGTAGATATCGTTTTATTTGCATTACTTTTACCATTTTCTAATACTATATGAGAAAACAATTGTCCTTACATTGATTGTAATTTAACTGTCATTTAAATGGTAGAACTTGTACACTTAAGATACTACGTTTTAAAGATATAATAACTAGATGAATACGCTACTATACTTAAAAGGAAAAAACTAATGGTGAATCATTTAACCTTAGGCTTTGTTTTGATGTTTCAGAAATGCTTCTCTAATAGCTTATTGTAGATGAAATCCCCATGATTCAACTTTTTTTTATAGCAAGAATCTGTACAATTTATATTCCAGAATGCACCTTTAATTAGATGCTTGAGCATTAGGAACATCATGACATGGTCATTTTTTGTCATTTTTTAAATCTCATTTTGACATGTCATCATAGAAATTAAAGTTTCCTTGCCATGACTTTTGAAAAAAAAATGACAAGTAAATAGTTAAAATTAATTTCTTCCCCTACTTTTCACACTCTTCTTGTCAACCCACAGATTTTGCAATAATGTTAGAAAGAGCAATTCTGCTTTTTTACAATATAAACGCATTGATGTTTTGGAATAGTAGTATGCTCAAATTAACGGAAGACAGCATATTTTCGTTCCAAACAAATGATCCTCCTGAGAATTATGCAACCAGTAGATTCCATTGCAACGAAAGCTTATACATCACTACTCATTCATACTCACCCATCTCATTATCGATAGAGTATCCATCCCTTTGTCCTTTCAATTATGTGAAATAAGTTGCAGGGGAGATAGCATGAACTGAGGACAACACACGATTCTTAATGCCAGAATTGATAAATTTGAGCAGCGAAAAATGATAGTATTAATTTTTAAATGAGGTGAAACTCCATGTTGTCTTTGTGCAATTTTCTTTTAAGAACTTATGATATGAAATTATCGTCCTTAGAACCTTCAAGTCCTGTACACACTAAAAAGTATATCGAGTCCAAAAAGGATGTGATATGGGTGGAGCCAATTTTATGAGCTCAAGTTGTGTTTTCATGTATACGGTTTTGTTGATCCCTATGCTTGTGGGTTTTGCAGGTGAAGGAAATAAGCAGAGTTTTCAAAGTGGCGGATGGCGAGCTGTCTTATGTGGTTCAAATGGCAACGCAACTGAATACTCTTCAGCCACATCTCAAAGCTGTGCTCAGAAAACTTTGAAGTGTTTCGCGTTACCTCATTAAGCTCGAAAGAGATGAATGCCAGCTCGTTAAAAGTTTTTCAGCATTATTAACGATTCCTTAATCTTATAACCCGGTTTGTAAACAATTTACGGTATGGAAAATACGTAGAACCCCCATGATTGTTATGAGAAAATATTAGCTAAGTTTGTTGATCAGGATTTTGTACATTGATTTGTGCTTAATAACAGCCTTCAAAAGCGGCGTGAATATGGTCCCTAGAAGCACCATACATACAAAATTCTGAAAAAAAATTGAGTAAATTGAATACATTTGTTGATCAGGATTTTTTTTTTATGCATCCTCGTTTTTCTCCAAACGTTCAGTAATACGAATGCTCTCTTGCATCTATTCAATTAATCCCTTTGATCTCCGATGTTCTTATGATTTTCTCTGTATAATTAACTTGATCATTTAGTATAAACTTATTGCATGTGATATAACTTCATTAACTTGATCATCTACTACAAACTTACTGCATATAATATGACTTCATTATATTCTTGTACATAATTTTCCTACGTCATTAACTTAATCATTTAGTAGAAACTTACTGCATATAATATGACTTCATTACATCATTGTACAGAATTTTCCTGCCTCATGAACGTAATAACAAAGATTTGAAAATCACCAAATTCACAAAATCAGTACTTGTCATTAGTCAGGCGATATTATTTGTCAGTTGTAGTCACAAAGCTAATTTTCTGAAAACCAAGAATAATCTTGTCACTCCAAAGATAAACAACAAACAAGGAATTCTATTGATAATAAAAAAACCATGCTGAGAAGAGCATGTGTTGTCATACAAATTGAGGACACAATTCCGTGATTATGGGCCTTTCAAGTAGGGGAGGAAATGAACCAAATAATTAACAAATAATTAGATAGCTATTCAAATAACTATTCAGTAGTTAATTTATCACTAAATAAGTATTTTTTAGTATTCGAGTTTACTAACGGATAGAATTTAACCAGACATATTTTCAATTCGTTTAAAATTTGATCACAGCTTATTATTTGTATTATTACACATATGATGTCATATTTTTAACCCACTTACCATTTTTACTTAAGTTTTATATAATAATTTTAAGACTTAAATAATCTTAAATCTATTTTCTGATTAAAATTTTAATTTAAATATTTATACATCACATATTATAAAGGAATAATTTTTATTTATGAATTTCAATACTATTTGAAAATCAAATTTCTTTAGCGGAATAAATATATTTTGATATTCGATAAGTATTCGTGAATATTCATGAATATTTATCAAATACCAAGTATTCGAGTTCGAATTCGAAAAACTAGATATATGAATATTAGAGTCCGCATTCGAATTCAATAACTTTAAACAAATATAAATACGAACACCTTAGTATTTGATTTGATTCGATCGCTTACCACCCCTAAGAAGAAATAGCTGTTGGGATATTAATTTAAAACAGCTTGAGAATAATTGTAATAACGAAAAGTAGCTGTTGGGATAGTACTTTCAATGATGTGAGGGAATAATTTCAAAATAAATTAGGGGCTGTTTGGTTGTTGTTGGTAAAGTTTTGTATTTATGACACAACTAGGAAAGTTGTTGTCCACCTCATCAATTTCACTTTTATACTTTTCTGTATTTGTTTTTTATTCCATTGGAAGCATAAATTGCTTGTTTGGTTTGCAAATGTAACTTTAATTATTTGTTTGGAAAGTGTAAAAAGTGGTCCCTACTCAAATGATCATATTGGTTGGAATTATTTTTTATTATTTTTTCCTGACTTCAATGTCAGCTTTCTCCTAAAATCATATCTTTTTTTTATGAAATCATTTTACAAGCCACATCATCATATGAAATCACTTTACACTATTTTTACAACTATAAACAAACAATTGAAAGTGATGAAAGCTGATATTGGGACCTATTTTTTTACACTTTTCATCTTTTTACATGGTAAAAACATACAACCAAACCGCCCCTTAGGAAAAGGGGAACCGACAATAATTTCTTGATTTGGGGGACTACTTTGGAAGTATAAAAGTTTTTAGGGGATAAGTAGTAATTATTAACGTACACATGAATCTTGAACCAAAATCGCATCACTCCAATCACAATGGTTTTCAATATTTCATTCCTGAGTCCTAATTACCATCATCATGAACATCCTTACTGAAAGTTTGAATCTTAGATTTATTTATGAACATTTATACTTTATGTATGTGTTTTCATGATTTACATCCTTACTAAGTTTTCCCTTAATCAATTAACTGTTTGATCTTTGCAGGATGAATTTCAATCAGAACCCCTGCTTGACCAACTACTTTCATAGTTATGCTAGCCAAAGAGTAACCCATTTCATTGAAGCATCAATAATCAGGCTCAAGCCGTTCACCGAGAGATACCAAGAACCGCTAAACGAATTCCAAGAAACAATACCATCGACGGTCTTCAAAACGTCCGCAAGTTTCTAGAACAGTGGATACATTCAAACCTGCAGTGCCAACTTCGAGGATGCATGTATCAATGTCGTGCACGCATTTCAATTGGGTAGCAACCGCTTTTCAGATCGACTAGCACCGAGGCGCAGCCTGCCAACGTGATTGCGACAATGCTAATGCAGAAGGCGGTCACCAACGTCAAGAAATACATGTAGTTTACTTGTTGGTTTTCTCCAATTTCTCACTTTATGAGCGTATGTTCTTCTGAAGGGTTGATGGATCATATGAATTTGGCTCAAGTATATGTAAAGCATGATCCAAGAACATTAGAATGAATATCTACAATAGAAAACAAGAAGCTATTATCTTTTTAACCTAAAACGTGAGAAGTCTTCATGTATGATTGTCTCTCTTCTTCATAGTAATTGTTTCATTATTGTCAGTTTTAATGGAATGCAGGTTTTATTGCTGTTACTCATATGAAATGTATGCTTCACATAACATAGTTGTGGGCATCCTAAGCTTAATTTGTTTATTATATGAGAACATAACATGCTTTTCATATGTGAAGAAGTTCAGGAAATCAACAGGAATTAGCCAGGCAGACTGGTGATCGACCGCGAGTCAGCGGCGGTCGACCGCGAACATGCACATGAGAGCAGGAGGCTCTGGAGCTGAAGGCGGTCGACCGTGACGGTCAACCGCGCGGACCCTGTAAGCGATTTAACTCTCGGGAATTGATTCGGTCGACTGCCGCGGTTGACTGTGGGTTTTCTGTAATCGATTTATTCTCTGTCGGGGGTGATCGGTCGACCGCGATACCTGCACGGCTGACCGTCACGGTCGACCGCGTAGCGAGTTTGCAGTTGGGTCAGTTATTTGACCCGGTTCGTTTTGGAGCTGATATATAACTCTAATCCTGATTAGTTAGGGTAAAAAGCAAGGACGTTTTTGAGCAGTCTTTGGGAGAGGATTGTTGCACCCAATTGTGGGAGAGTTGTGAGAGATCTAGAGCTTTGTTTTAGGGTTTGATCGGTGAGATTTGTAACTCTATTTGTACTATTGATTTCTAATAGTAAGAACTCCCCCCTCCTTGCCCCGTAGATGTAGGCAACTTGTCGAATCACGTTAAACTCGTTATCTTGCTGTGGTATTGTGTTTGGTTTGTTAGTTGTGATTTATCTCTTGTTCTTGTTTGTGTCGCTTCGAGGCTTCCGCCGAGGCTTCCGCCGCACATAACAATACGTTCCACCACTTCTTCTATATTGTCAAAATTTTCGTAAAACAGGTTAAGTTCTCAAACATCATTAGACCGCAGAAGGTTTGAAACCATAAGCCTTTTTCTTATATTAGAAAAAGCACATTGGTTTCCGTTTCTTATAAGGGCATGTTTGGTTCAATTCCTAGCGTTTGGTAATCGTGGCATTTTTATCGTTTCTTTTTTTTCAAAGAAAACAATGAAAAACGTTTGGGGCAACTAGGGCGTTTTTTTGACTTGACCCTTTATAAAATCTAAAATATAAACACTTTTCTCAAAACACCAAAAATGTGTTTTGAGATTCCGTTTTCTCATCGCCGCCGCCCGCCCGCCCGCCGTCGCTATATAAATAATAACTATATATGGTGTTTTCAAAACATGTTTGAAAAAAAACACCATGGCATGGTGTTTTTCTATAAAAACACAACAACAAAATCACCTTGATTACCAAACACAGATAGAAAACAACAATTTCATGTGAAATGCTCATTATTGGTATTTTCCATTGATTTTCCATTCATTGTTTGGTTCATCCAAATAGGCTACAATAAAAAAAATGAAAATAACATATTTCTCATTTTGTTGTTTGGAGGCAACGGAGCAAGGTGTATATCGAGACTTAAGAGCTTAGTAGTTAATTTGTTGATGTTTCCGAACGAAAATAATGGCGCTCGCATTTTTGTATTCCTCGTTTCCATCCAATTCTGCTGAAAAAGCTAAGAATTTGGGTTCCCTATTCTTGCTGACGTTTGAGCAAAATTCCATCTCAACCCAGAATGACAACCAAACGTAGAATAGAAAATCAAAAACATGATTTCCTGACGGATTTTGCCCGTGTCGAGTATTCATTCCTAGTCATGGCCTTTCACCTTAGGGGCTCTTTGGTTGGCAAAAATAAGGAGTTGAAATAGGTTTCCAGCTCTGACATGTTGACAGTAAGAAATGTAAGTTCATTTTTTTTTCTAATCTGCAGTTTGGTTCGCACTCAAATTTAAAGAAAACTTTGATGGAAATCGTCCGCCAACTCAGAAAAACAGAGATCCCCATTTCCGAAGTTTTTGCTCGGAAATGGGACGGAGATGAGTTAAAAAACTGCCAGCTAGACCGCGAGAACACAGAAAAACAGCGGGAAAAAACCACTTCGTTATTATCACCGCCTTCTTATCTCTTTCTCCTTTCCTCTACCTTCTTCATTTTCTTTTTCCGTCTCTCTTCTTCAATCCTTCCACCGCCTCTCTCTGGCCAAAAAATTATGGAAAATATTTTTTGTGAAACCTTCGTCGATCCTACCTGATATCGATCCCTCTTCCACTGTCAATCTTCTCTTGCTACTTCAATAGAAATCCAAGCTTTGTTAGGGCTAATAGTTGGCTATTTCATCGGTAAAACAGCTTCTAATTTGGGTTATTGGTTCGGCGGTCTTCTATTTGGGTTATTTTAGAGGTGGATTCGTTGCTTTGCTACGTTGATTGCTTAATCCCTCTAAGATCTAACTGCTTTGGGGCTAATCCATGTAGAGAACCTCACCGAGCTTCTTTGCAAAATCTGTGAAGGTAATTTTCCTGATAATTTTGTTTTTCCTTTTTCTTTCC